CATTGGAGTTACAGCCTCAGCCTGCACTCCTTAGCATGCTGCCAGGTGGAGCTGGTCACCTTCCTGAGAGTCTCTAAGTCTTGCCCAACTCACAGGATGATGATGGTGAGTCTCAGAATCTTAATACAAGCAGCAGCATTTCTGAATGTCAGAGCCAGCATGGACCTTGTAGATCACATTACCAGCTTCCTGCTCTGTGGATGCCCGGCTGGGCCATGAGGCCACCTCTGCCCCAGTGCTCCCTACCGCAAATGGAAATGACGGCTTCTGGCTTCTGTGTCCCCAGTGGATGGGAGCCTCCCTGGCCCTCAACACGGGGTCTGGGGCATGCTGGGTCAGCAGGGCCTCCCGTGGCTGGGTGCTCACCTACATCGTGGATGAACTGCTCGATCTTGGCCTGCATGCCCCAATAGCGGAACTCAACCTTGCACAGCTTATAGGCGCACATAAGGGGCCCCGTCTGCGCCGCTGTCCGCGCCCAGTCATCAGCCAGTGGCCCTCGGCCTGTCTTGACCGAGCGGTACAGCCGGGGGTCCTCTTCTGCTTTGTACTCGCCCGGGGCCACCGCATCCCGCACGATGTCGATGGTGTCTGAGGGAGTTCGGCAAGTATTGAGCAGCGGCAGTCCCTTTGAGCCCCTGCTCCCGGCACCCTCTTGGGACTGGGCAACAGCTCCTGTCCTTTTGCAGATAGGACAGGAAGCCTGGAGAGGGCTGGGACTTCTCAGAGGCTGCCCGATGAGGCAGCCGGGAGCCTGAGAGGGCGCCAGGGTCCCCCCATAGCTCCAGGCCTCACCCAGGATGCGCTGTCTCCTCTCAGCCCCACTCAGGTTGAAGACATTCGGCTGCTGCCCCCCGTCAGGCAGGTAATAGGTCTCAATTTCAATGGAGAATTTCTCCACAAAGGGGCAGGTGTACCTGGGCAAAGGGCATGGGTGAGGCTCACTGCTGTACTCACCAGGGCTGCTCCCCTCCGGCCCCGGACCATGCCCGCCTCACCCGCTCACCGGGTTCGAGTGTAGGGGTAGGCGTTCCAAGATTCCTCTTCTACCTGCAGGGCAGCCTTGGGCAGCAGTGCCCGGAACCAGCCTGGGATGTGGGAGCCCACGTGGTACACCTTATGTGTGTACTGCCCGCTGCCCCCGGGCCCATCTGTGTAGGGCCGGTTGGCCAGGATCTCCACGCCGCTGCCCTCACCACTAGACTCTTCCCGGCTCTTTTTCTGTGGCCCAAGGCAAAGCAGAACAGGGAGCTCAGCCCCAGTTCAGCATCTGGGACCCCCAGTTCAGCCTGGTGCTCTGCATAGCTCTGGGGCCCAGGTCCCAGCCTTTTCGACTCCCTGAAATCAGACCCGCCCCACCGAAGCTCCCTGGGATCAGAATCACAGACGCTGCCCTGTCCGCATGGGCTCTGCAACCCAGCACTCAACTCAGTCATGCAAGTATTCATTCAGTGTCTGCTCACTCCCAGCGGTGTTTGGGATTATAGCAATTGAGCTATATTGATGAGTAGAACAAAGACCCCTCTCCTTGTGGAACTTACATTCTAGTGGAAGGAGATACACGAAAGGAAAAATCAAATTATATGGTGTGTTAGAAGGTATTAAGTGCTGTGGGAAAAGGAAGCCTAGTGGGGCATGGGTGATCAGGGTTGGGGGCTGCAGTTTTGATCAGATAGTCAGGGAAGGCCTTGCTAAGAACATAATGCGACTATGGCTTGAACACGACTTTAAGGAGGTGAGGTGGGAGGGAGCTCTCAGGGCAGAGGAAGCCAGTGCAGCCTTCAGGTGGGAGCACATCCTGCATGTGCTCAACGGTGGCAAGGAGGCTGGGCTGGCTGGCAAGAGAGAAGGGACAAGGAGAGGAAAAGGGGTCTCCAGTTCTCAGAGGCCCTGCCCCTGCCCCCTCCCTCTCTGGAAGGCCCTAGCTGCCTCCGAATCCCAGCTTCTGCCACACCCCTCATAGCTTGAGAGCCCCCAAATCCTGCCTTCTATCACTGTTGGCCTTCTCAACCCCGAGGTGGCATCCAGGCCCCCTTGCTTTATGAGACTCTGGTCCTGCTGTGCTGGGGACAGATCTGGAGCGGACTCTGAGACACTGCACCAACCTGGCCACCGCTGAAGGCCTGCCCTGGCCCATTCTTCTCACTGCCCAAGCCCAGAGTCCCCTTGCCCTCTAGTCCTTGCTGCCCTGTCTCTGCCCCAGGTTTGGCGCCTGGTCCTTACCACATCTCCCTGACCTCCAGGTGTGGCCGGGACCCTGCACCTCTCCAGACCCCCTCGCACCCTCGTCTGCCGCAGAGGCCCCCCTCCTCATTCTTGCCGCCTCCTGGGCGCTTTTTCCTTCCCCGATGGGATTACAGATCCTCAGGAAGATTACAGGAGATCAGAGGAGGGCTGGGCACTTGGCCGGTGGGAAGCGTCACTCGGCCCTCCTGCCCTTCTACCCACAGTCCTTCCCCATCCCTGCATCTGAAAGGGGGCCTCTCTCACCTCCTCCAGGCTCCCAGTGGGTCCCAGCCCTGGGGCAGGGCTGGCGGGGTTGGTAGGGTTCCACCCCTTGCCCAGGCGCCCTCTCCCCGCGGCCCTCACCTGGATCATGTAGAGCTGGGCCACCTGGTACTCGTCCAGGCTCATGGGCAGCAGAATGTGGTATTCCTTGATGAGCATCCTGAAGGCGCTCGGCGGGCCGCGCGCGGCCTCCACTCCAGCTCCTGGCGCAGGGCACGGCGCGGCCGTCAGTGCCGAGAGGCGGCGCGCGGTCCCGAGCCCAGCGCGCCCGCCGAGGGGCTCGGGACACGGGACCCCATGCCCGGGCCCGCCGCGGGGAAGGCAGAGGCGAGCCCAGCGCCACCGCCCGCTCCGCCGGGGCCCGGAGCCGCAGCGAGGCTGAGCGCTGACCTCTTTTTCGCGCAGCCCCCGCCCCCCGCCCGCCCGTCGCCAAGGCAACCGCGCGCTGACGCGGGCCCCCCGGAGCGCCAGGCTCCGGCCGGCTGGCGGGAGGGCCACCTCGCCTCTCCCGCTGCAGCCGTGTCTTAATCCTGGGAAACGGCATCCCTCGGGGGCGCGCCCCCGGAGCCCCGGGGCCCCTCCTTCCGGGCCCGCCTTCCACGAGCCGCCCCTCGGAGACCCGCCCCCTGCATCCCCTTCCCGGAGGAGTCGACAGGGTCCCGGGTCCCCCACTCTCGGACGTTCACCTAGAACCTTGTTCCCCGGGTGTCTCTGCGCGGAGTGGCCCCGTGCGCCCAGCATCTCTGCCAGGTTCCCCCACGCCCTGCATCCGAAGCTACCTTCCGGGACCAGGAATCCCCTCTGCCCCCCAAATCTGTCTTCCTCACCATCGAGGGCAGCCGGGTCCTCGACCTCCCCCTCCCAGCATCCTTCATGCACCCCCGGCCCTTGCCGGCTTTCCGCGCGCCTAGGCAGCCACCCCGTCCTCCTCCCAGGCGGTGACTTCTCCTCAGGCTGAGGTCAGAGTGGCTCCACTTGGTATCCCACGAGCCCTGGCCCTGGAGACCTGCTCCGCCCACCCGTACCCCGGGCTGGCACCACGGTTCCGCTGCAGGCACCCCTCCATCCCCCACTCGCACCCTGCGAGCAAGCTAGAGGCCCCGTTGTCCCCACTTCCCTCTGCTCTCCGGCCTCCCGGTCCCCTGCCGCGCTCTTGGCCCGCCTGCCGACGTCCCGGCTCACCTCTAGCTTGAGGCGGGCGCCCCTCACCCAGCCCGGGCAGGGCCAGCCGGCCCGTGGGTCGGAGCCCGGAGCGCCCCCAGCCCGGGCCTCGGGTTCCAGCGGTGGCCGGACCCTCCCGAGGCGCAGTGCCGGCCCATGGCCCCGACCTTCCTCTCGATCCGCCCGCCGGCGCCCCTGCTGTCCCTCCCCGCCGCCCGCCGCGTCACTGCGGCCGCCCCGCCCCCTTCCTGGGCCCGGCCTGGCCCTCCCCACCCCGGCGGGGTCCGGGCAGCCCCGCCTGCAGCGGAGGCAGGGAGACAGACCCCTGCCTTCCTTCCCCTGGGAAGTGGGGAAGAGGCATTGCCTAAATTCTGTTTAGTCCCTTAGTCCCTCTGTTTTGTTTGGGGTCCCTAAAGACTGGTAGGTCCTATCTCCACCCTGGTCCGGCCCTCCTGTGTGCAGTGAAGGGGTGGAGTTTGATATGGGGGGGCGTGTCCCAGGCCCACTCTCCTCTCCTCACCCTCTGCAGTCCTTGGACCTGGGACCCAGGGTAGAGGAAATGCCTCCCCACCAAAGTCTAGGCAGACGCTCGTGGCTCTGATGTGCCTCCACCTAGGGCTGACCTCCAGGGCCCCCGGGCCTCTACACCCAGCTACACACCCAGGCAGAAGCGGGCTGTCACTCTGAGTGGCTGGGCTAGCCACTGCGTGGTGCCACAAAGCCTCCCCCACCTCTGCCTTCCGGGTCCACAAGTCTGGCGAGCCAGCCACCCGGAGTCTGGGCAAAGGGCGAGGCACCCTAAGGAACCCCAAGGCTGGGCTCCTGGGATCACGCCCAGCCTGCTACAGGTGCTGCGGCGGTGACGGCAGCACCCGCCAGCCTCTCTGCTTGACTCTGAGGCCAGTGCTGGAAGCAGCAGTGTGCATTCTCTCTGCGGTGTCAGAGACCTTCAGGGCTGATTCAGAGGCTGGGGTGTTGTCAGGGCATTAGGGAGTGTAAGGGAGTGGCTTACGTGAACTGGCATTTCCACGCTGCCAGGCATCACTGCCAATCCAGAGGAAGTGCCCTCCAGGCCCAGGCTGCCCACAGCTCAAAGGGCTGTGGAAGCAGCCAGGCCCTGCTCTGCCCCCTGGTGGCACCACAGGAAGGCCCAGGGCTCTCAGCACCAGGGCTGGGGCAGGAGAGGGCCTGGGTCCCACAGGAGGCCTGTGGCCCACAGAGGCAAGTCAAACCCCATTCAGTCACACCCTCCCCACCCCTAGTCTCCTCTTCCTTCTCTGCCTGGCCCACCCAGGCTTAACTGAAGAACCAGACCCAGAAAGGCTCAGAGCTGACAGCACAACTCCAAATCATCTTTTATTAATATAAAAAGGGCATATTTAGCAAAAGACACACAGAGAAAAGAGTCACTATGGCCCAGGACACAAGGCAAGCAGGTGCCAGGCCTGAGCCCCTGCTGGGAGAGAGGGAGGCTCGGGACGAAGTGGGAGAAGTGCTGGGAGGGGCTGAGCAGTGGGGGCCACAGAAAGTTCCGGTGGGCAACACTGTCGGCAGGTCATGGGCGCGACTCACAGGGACCTCGCTGCTAAACTCTTGTTGTGGGGGGGGTCGTTCTTAGTGCTGCCACCTGGAGTGAGAGCCACCCTTTGGTTCCTGGAGGGCACCCACCAAAGGACACAGGACAGGAAGCCCAGGATGGTTAGTGCAACTCGGGATGATGGCCAGGGAGAAGCGGGTGCTCTGCAGTGGCCGGGAAAGGTCCAGACGCTGAGGCCGAGAGGCTTCCTGTTACGTGCGGGCGTTCCGCTCTGTCTCTGCCAGGCACTCTCTGACTAGGGCCCGGGCATGGATGATACCTGGGGGTAGGGTGGGGTCTCAGCAACCCTCCATAGCCCCACCTCCGCCCTCCAGAGGACCACCACTGCCTCCCCACTCCCTTTCCTTTCGGCAAGAGAAATTCAAATCTAATAATGGCGAGATGAGATTAGAGGTTTGGCTAATCCTCAAGGTGGCCCTGTTGAAATACAAATTCCCAGGCTCTTCCCTGGAAACGGACTCAATTTCAATTCAAAATACCTCTCTGCATAGTAATACTGGCCCTAGTCTAGGCGTCGCTCGGGTGGCCTCCAGATGTCCTTACTTCCCTAATGAAGGATAGTGCAGTGTCGGCTTCCTGAGCAGGGGAGCAGGGCAGGGCAGGGCGGCCTGGCCTCACTTACCTCTCTTCAGGCGCTCCATGGCACTCTTGCTGCCAGCATAGGTGGGCCGGATCTCTTTGCCCATCTCCTCTATGACGGACAGCAGGTCCGTGTAGGTGCTCTGGGAGCCCTGGGCGCCGGGTGGCTTCATCGCCTATGTCAAAAGAGAACAGGGCAGTGAGCTCAGGCACCTGGCAGGGAAGGAAACTCCAGTCCCCATCCATAAGCAAGGCTTTGGCCCCACTCACCTGCACATAGCCCATGGAAGGCGGTCCAAAGTCGTTAAACAGCGGTCTGAAAGGGGCGGCGGCTCCTGGCACTGAGCCCGACGGCGACGGCACGCTTCCTGCAGCAACAGGCGCGAGTAAGAGGTCAGCGCTGGGCAGGGACGCGCCTCCCTGCTTTTCCAAGCCCAGGACCGCGTTCGCCCGATTCCCTCCAAAGGATGCTTCATTCCATGCTGATTAACTTCAGGGACAAATCCCTCCCCCTGAGCTCCACCTACAAGCCCTTACATGACCACGCCCATTTCACAGGCCAGCAAACTGAGGCTCAGCGAGGGGTAGGCGGCAGGCCCAGTATTGCAGAACTCAGGCCGTCTTCTCTTCGAGACCTCGACCGCCCGGCAGGCGAGCAGGGGTGGAGCTGGATCCTCACCTGTAGGGACCGGGGTGCCCGGCCCAGGGGTGCTGGAGCCAGGGGTGCTGCTGGGGGCGGGGGCGATGGGTTTGTAGGACATCCCCAACTCCTGGGCGCGGCGGACGCCAGCCAGCCGCTCCTCGGGGGTTGGCCGCCGGGCCGCTCAGCCGCGCTCTGATTGGCAAGCGGGCTGCACGCCTCTGGTAAATAGAGGTCTGGCCGGAAGGGCGAGCGGGCTCGAATGCTCCCTCACTCCCGATTGGCGCCTGAAGATGTCACTCGAGCCTCCTTATTGGACGAGACCTGCCCCAGCAGGTCGCAACCGCCACCGATTGGTCTCCGCCTTCCGGACCTCGCACCTGTCTGCTCCGGATTGGGCGGTGGCTGCCGCCCTCTGCAATTGGCGAGTTCGCCGCCCGGGCCGGCGCGCTCTCAATCCGATTAGTCCCCAGGCCTTAGAGGCGGGGCCTCGAGGCCCCGGACCCCGGGCTGGGCCGCCGGTTCGCGCCGAGGGGTCTTCCCGGACGCGGGCGCTACCCTCGCGCTTCACTCGCGCTGCTTCAGACGTCGGCTCTGCTCTGCCCAGTTTCGGCCCAGCAGGGGTTGCTGTCGCCGCTGCCGTCGCTTCTGTCGCCGCCGCTGTGCGTCCCTATCCGCTCCTGGGGCCGAAGGACGCAGAGCTTTGACGTCCCGAGCCCCGCGCCCCACCCCGTGCGCTTTTACGTCACCTTTCACCGGTTCAACACCCTCTCCCCGATCTGCGCATGCGTCCGCCCGAGGCCTGCGTTTGTTCCCATGGCAACAGGCCCTACTTCAGTGCCGCCACGCGCAGCTCTTCCTGTGGCTTGGCTGGTCCTCAGGTCCAAGGGCGACCTCAAAGACCCCTTTGCCCGCACCCCCAAGGCCCCGCGCCGCCGCCTCAGCTGGTGTCAATGGCCGTAGGGCAAACCTGCGAGATTACTGTGTGGCGGGCCGGTACCAAACTGATCAAGAGCACGGTCTGGAGCCAACCGCCTGGGTTTGAATCTCAGCACCACCCCCACTGGCGATTTCCCCCAGGCAAGTGTCTCGCCTCAGTATGCCTCAGTTTTCCCATCCGTAAAATGGGGAAAATGACGATCTCATTGGGTTGTTGTGTGGATTAAGTGAATGTCATAAAGTGCTTGTTGTTTCATTCCCCGCCTTCCTGTCCCACTCCAGGGCCCCCATACCTTTCCATTCCACCACTCAGACGCCTCCCCTCAAATCTCACTCCCCACAAACTTAAGACTTCAAACCCTCATCCACTCACTAACCCTTTCTCCCAGGCTCCTTCCCCAAGCTCAAACTTCTCTGGCCTTACGTACCTTCATGGTCCCAGCTTTGTAGATCTTCATCTCCAGGACAGTCGTTCATTCATTCATCCATCCAACAAACATGTTCTGGCCCGTGTTGGCTCACGCCTGTAATCCCAGCACTTCGGGAGGTGGAGGTGGGCTGATTGAGGTCAGGAGTTCGGCCCGGAGAGGTGGCTCACGCCTGTAATCCCAGAATTGTGGGCCGAGGAGGGTGGATCACGAGGTCAAGACATTGAGACCATCCTGGCCAACATTGGTGAAACCCCTTGTCTACTAAAAATACAAAAAATTAGCTGGGTGTGGTGGCGTGCGCCTGTAGTCCCAGCTACTCGGGAGGCTAAGGCAGGAGAATTGCTTGAACCCAGGAGGTGGAGGTTGCAGTGAGCCGAAATCGCGCCACTGGACTCCAGCCTGGCGCCTGGCGAAAGAGCAAGACTCCGTCTCAAAAAAAAAAAAAAAAAAAAAAGAGGTCAGGAGCTTGAGACCAGTCTGGCCAACATGGTGAAATACAAAAGTTAGCTGGGTGTGGTCGCTGGCACCTGTAATCCCAGCTACTTGGAAGGCTGAGGCAGGAGAATCATTTGAACCAGGAGGCAGAGGTTGCAGTGAGGCAGACGTTGCAGTGAGCCAAGATCGCACCATTGCACTCCAGCCTGGGCATCAGCGCGAGACTCCGTCTCACAAACAAAACAAAAAAAAACCATGTTCTAACTCCCTTGACTCCCTCCTCCGTCCCACATCTTGTGCCGAGCGCTGAGGTTACAGAAATGAACTGGCCATGGCCTCTGTACTCAAGGAGGTCTTATTCTCTGAGACAGACAGGGAAGCAACATCTTCCTTACACTGCAGTGAGACAGTGGCCACAGGGGAGACGCGGACAGGGTGTACTGGAACAGAGAGAGGGTCTGCGGGGTGTCATCACAGAAATCTTTCCAGAGCAGGTAGCACTTGAGTGGGTGGGGGCAGAAGTGGAGGTGGAGGGAGCAGTCCAGGTAGAGGGCCTGCCATGTGCAAAACCTTGGGAAACGGGAGAGCACGACATGTGTTTAAGAAGCGGCGATTTATTTTTTTGTTTTGTTTTTGTTTTTTTGAGACGGAGTCTTACCAGGTTGGAGCCCAGTGACGCAGTCTTCGATAACTGCAACCTCCGCCTCCCGGGTTCAAGCGATTCTTCCGCCTCAACCTCCCAAGTAGCTGGGACAACAGGCGCATGCCAAACACGCGGCTAATTTTTGTATTTTTAGTAGAGACGGGGTTTCACCATGTTGGCCAAGATGGTCTCGATCTCTTGACCTTGTGATCCACCTGCCTCGGCCTCCCAAAGTGCTGGGATTACAGGCGTGAGCCACCGCGCCCGGCCTGTTTGTTTGTTTTTGTTTTTTCTGCTGGAGAGTTCATTGGGGGGTGGGGGTGGAGCCGTGGAAATAACCACAGGGGCAGGAGGGGACCTTAGGTGACCTGGATGTAAGGAAGCTGAGTTGACCACAGAGTCCAGTGCTTCCCTAACTCCGGCCATCAGAAAAACACCACCGGTCTTGCCATCTGTTGAATATTTCCTTTGGAGTAACAAACTTTAAAAAATCTTAGATAGGTGGCTCAAGCCTGTAATCCCAGCACTTTGGGAGGCCGAGGTGGGTGGATCACGAGGTCAAGAGATCGAGACCATCCTGGTCAACATGGTGAAACCCCGTCTCTACTAAAAATACAAAAAATTAGCTGGGCATGGTGGCGCGTGCCTGTAATCCCAGCTACTCGGGAGGCTGAGGCAGGAGAATTGCCTGAACCCAGGAGGCGGAGGTTGCGGTGAGCCGAGATCGTGCCATTGCACTCCAGCCTGGGTAAGGAGCGAAAACTCTGTCTCAAAAAAAAAAAAAAAATCTTAGATAGGAAAAGAAATAATGTCCATTCAATTGTGTACTCACCATTTATAGTTTCGAATACATATTCAGATCCAGCTACCGTTAAGAAGAAAAGGTACTGATCAGGTCACCCGAGGGCTTACGCTCCCTGTGGTGGCACTGAGGGTGCGCTCTCAAGAAATCTGTGGATAGTAGGTGAAGAGGAGCCACGGAGGGTTATGCCTCCTTTGGGCACCACCAAGCGCCCACTCCTTCTGTCACAGGAAAGGGGTCCTGAGGGAGAACTGTGGGGATCGCTCCCATGTGAGGCCCCTGGGAAATGGGCCTCGCCATATGGTGAGCTTGAGCCCGGACCAGATCTCCAGTTTGGGGAGTCGAGCTGAGGGAAAGCAGGAACTGAGAGAGGGACTATGCTATTCAAAATAATTAACAGACATTACTTTATGGATATGAGGACTTGGGAGGAGTTGTGTCCACTTTCGGTTCCTTATGGTTTATTGCTTCATTGTGTTCATTTTTGGATCCTTGCTACATTTGTTGTAAAATATTAACTTCAGTATTTACAATTGTTAAGTATTTACTTGGCGTAACTTACTTACTGGGCGTAACTTACTTACCTTGTGACTTAACCTAAGTATTTACAATTGTTAAGTATTTACTGGGCGTAACTTACTTACCTTGTGCTGTTCCTTTTACTAGTTCCCCAGAATTGTTTTCTGTTTCTTTTGTTATTTGAGAAATGCTTTGATCTGACGTAAACAACATTAAGTAGAAAAGGATATAATGGAACCTGCTGCACAAATAAAATTGCTGCTTGGGCATAGCCCATCCAGTCCTCCAGACCCCACTCTTTTCTTTCTCCTTTTTTTCTGCGCACGCTCTCTTCCAGGTTTGGGACCCTCTCGCTGGACGAGATTCCCAGGCTCGCGTTCAGTTCACAACAGGGTCTGGATCCATATCCCATCTGAGGGTTCCTGGATCTTGTGCAAGAAATAATTTAGGGCGAGTCCATAAAGTGAAAGACAGTTTATTAAGAAAGTAAAAGAATAGCCAGGCACGGTGGCTCATGTCTGTAATCCCAGCACTTTCGGATGCCGAGGCGAGCAGATCACCAGAGGTTGGGCATTCGAGATCAGCCTGACCAAAATGGAGAAACCCTGTCTCTATTAAAAATACAAAAATTAGCTGTCATGGTGCTGCATGCCTGTAATCCCAGCTACTGGGGAGGCTGAGGCAGGAGAATTGCTTGAACCTGGGAGATGGAGGTTGCAGCGAGCTGAGATCGAGCCATTGCACTCCAGCCTGGGTGACAAGCAAGACTCTGTGTAAAAAAAAAAAGAAAGTAAAAGGATACAAGAATGGCTACTCCATAGAGCAGCCCCAAGGGCTACTGGTTGCCCATTTTTATGGTTGTTTCTTGATGATATGCTAAACAAGGTGTGGATTATTCGCGCCCCCCCTTTTTAGACCATATAGGGTAACTTCCTGACAGTGTCGTGGCATCAGTTTTCAGATGGGAGTGTAGCAGTGAGGATGACTAGAGGACACTCTCATCGCCATCTTGGTTTCGGGGGGTTTAGCTGGCTTCTTTACTGCAACCTGTTTTATCAGCAAGTATTTATGACCTGTACCTTGTGCTGACCTCCTAGCTCATCCTGTGACTTAGAATGCCTTAACCATAGGGAATGCAGTCCAGTAGGTCTCAGCCTCATTTTACCCAGCTCTTATTCAAGATGAATGGCTGGCTGGGCGCAGGGGCTCACACCTGTAATCCCAGCACTTTGGGAGGCTGAGATGGGCAGATTTCCTGAGCTCAGGAGTTCGAGACCAGCCTGACCCAAAATTGAGAAACCCTGTCTCTTCTGAAAATACAAAAAAATTAGCTGGGCGTGGTGTCATGCACGTATAATCCCAGCCACTCGGGAGGCTGAGACAGGGGAATTGCTTGAACTAGGGAGTTGGAGGTTGCAGTGAGGTGAGATCCCGCCACTGCACTCCAGCCTGGGAGACAGAGTGAGACTCAGTATCAAAAATAAAAAAAAAAAGATGGAGTGGCTCTAGTTCACAACCTCTGCCACTTCCACATCTTAGACCTTCCTACTTTCTCCACTGCCCATTCTATCAGTCACTGCAGCCTCGACCTCCTGGGCTCAAGCAGTCCTCTTGCTTCAGACTCCCGAAGTGCTGGGATTACAGGCAAGAGCCACTGGCCTAATTCCACAAACAAAACACAATACTGGCCGGGAGCGGTGGCTCACGCCTGTAATCCCAGCACTTTGGGAGGCGGGCGGATCACAAGGTCAAGAGATCTCGACCATCCTGGCCAACACGGTGAAACCCCATCTCTACTAAAAATACAAAAAAATTAGCTGGGCATGGTGGCACACCCCTGTGGTCCTAGCTACTCGGGAGGCTGAGGCGGAAGAATCACTTGAACCCAGGAGGCGGAGGTTGCAGTGAGCCGAGATTGTGCCACTGCACTCCAGCCTGGTGACAGAGCAAGACTCCATCTCAAAAAAAAAAAACCACCATAGACTGGGTGGCT